TTAGGCCAAATAACTGGGATGTCCCATGAAACCATAATACTAAACCCCCAAGCCAAGAAACCAAATCCTCTGAGCATTTTGGTTGTGTATAAGCACCTGCAGCAGCTACTCGTTGTTGTTGTAAATGTAGGTATCACACAACTTCTGCCAATTCAACTTTGCATAGGTCTACAAATTATTGACAGTGATTACAATAATTGGCTGTACAATCCTACCCTTAATCAACGTGGAATTTCCATCATTGTTAACTCCCCTTTGCCCCTCCCTCCTGCCCTTGGTAACTACTAGCAAACTCTTTCTCTATACATTTGTCTTTTTATATAAGAGAGGTCATACAGTATTTGTCGTTTTGTGATTGACTTATTTCACTCAGCATAACATCTTCCAGCTCCATCCATATTGCAGCATATATCAAGATTTCATTTACCTATCATGAGACAAAGTATATGTGAACTGTTTTATGGAAAATGAATTTGCTCTGTAAACTTTCACCCAAAGCACAATAGAAAATTTAAAAAAATATTTCATTTATCCTACTGATTTCATCTGTCCTACCACATTTTGTTTATTCATTCATCCGTTGATGGGCTTTATGTGGTTTCTATCTTTTGGCCACTATTAATAGTGCTGCAATGAACATTTGTGTGCAAGTCTCTGTTTAAGTCTCTGCTTTCAAGGTTTTTGGGAATATACCTAGGATTGGAATTGCTGGGTCATATCGTAGCTCTATTTTTAGTTTTTTTAGTAACCATCATACTGTTGTCCACAAAGGCTGTACCATTTTGTATTTACACCAGCAATTGATAAGGGTTCCAATTTCCCCATATCCTCAAAAATACTGGTAATTTTTTTTTGTTGTTGTTATTCCTTTTAAAATTAAATCATTGCTATCCTGTTGTTAGGTGCCGTTGAGTCATTTCCGACTCATAGCGACCCCATGCACAGCATAACAAAACACCACCCGATCCTGCGCCAGCTCCATGATCTTTGCTATACTAGAGCCCATTGTCGCAGCAACGGTGTCAATCCATCTCATTGAAGGCCTTCCCCTCCTTCGTCGACCCTCTACCTTACCAAGCATGACATCCTTCTCCAGGGAATGGTCTCCTCTGACAACATGACCAAAGTAGGTGAGAGGAATCCTAGTGACAGTGAAATGGTATCTCTTTGTCATTTTGATTTGCATCTCTCTAGGGGCTAATGAGCACCTTTTCATGTGTTTGGTGACTATTTGAATGTCCTCTTTGGTGAAATGTCTATTCAAGTCCTTTGACCATCTTATAATAAGGTTATTTGTCTTTTTGTTGTTAAGTTGTCAAAGTTTTATATATATTTTAGTATTAGGATTCTTGTTTCAGAAGATATTCTTCCAGTCAGTAGCCTGTCTTTTCTCTTTTTTGGTAAAGTTTTTTGATGAACAAAAGTTTTTGATTTTTATGAGGTCCCATTTATTTATCTTTTGCTGTTTGTGCTTTTGTTATTATATTAGATGATCCACATTCAAAAGCTAGACTCAACAACATTGCCCCTACTTTTTCTGCTAAGAATTTTATGGTTTTAGTTTGCAGAGTTAGGTCCTTAATCTATTTTGAATTTGTTATTGTATATGGTGTGAGGCATGGATCCTGTTTCATTTTTCTCTGTGTAGCAATCAATATTCCCAGCACCATTTATTGAAGAGACTCTTCTTTCCCCATTGAATGGACTTAGCACCCTTTTCAAGAATCAACTGACCACAGATGTGTGGGTTTATTTCTGGAGTCTCAATTCTATTCCACTCATCTATGTGTCCCTTGTACCAAACTGTTTTGATTACTGTAGCTGTATAGTATGTTTTAAAATCAGGAAATGTGAGTCTTTCTACTTTTTTTTTCTCTTTCAACATTACTTTGGCTATTCGAGGCCTCTTGTCATTCCATATGATGCTGAGGATCAGTTTCAGTCACATTATTTTTTGATAAGCCCACTCTAATAAGAGAAACCAGAAAAATGAAGTAACTATCTGGCCTTGGTGCATTTTTGGCAAATGATTCTCTCTAACCCTTGCTCTTCAAAGGGTGGTTCTTAGCATCAGTGTCACCTGGGAATATGTTAGAAATGCAGACTCTCAGGCTCTACCCCCCTGTTGTTTCTTCTCACTAGTTTTTTTTCCTCCAAATAAGAAAGTAAATTAATGAAGCCTATCTGTAATTGGAGGAGCTCTGGTGGCATAGTGCCTAAGACATTTGACTGCTAACCAGAAGGCTGGCGGTTCAAACCCACCAGCCACTCCTCAGGAGGAAGGGTGGGCAATCTACTTCCATAGGGATACTGCCTCAGAAACCCAAGGAGGGGTTTCTATGAATTGGATCCGACTCGACGGCAGTGAGTTTGGTTTTTGTTTTGGTATCCTTAATTGGGCAAATCTGCTGCAAAAGACCTCTTTATAGTGCTGAAGAGCAAACACGTCTCTTTGAAGACTAAGGTGTGCCTAACCCAGGCCATCATATTTTCAATAATAGCCTGCCTCATATGCATGTGAAAGCTGGACAATGAATAAGGAAGACCAAAGAAGAGTTGATGCTTTTGAGTTGTGGTGTTGGCAAAGAATACTGAAAGTATCATGGACTTCCAGAAGAATGAACAAATCTGTGGAAGAAGTGCAGCCGGAATGCTCCTTGGAAGCGAAAATGGCCAGACTTCATCTCACTTACTTTGGTCATGCTGTCAGAAGATATTATTCCCTGGAGAAGGATATCATGCTTGGTAAAGTGAAGGGTCAATGAAAAAAGGGAAGGCCCTCAATGAGACAGATTGGCACAATGGCTGCAACAGTGGGCTCAGGTATAGCAAACACTGTGGGGCTGGCACAGGACCAGGCAGTGTTTTGTTCTGTTGTACGCAAGGTCACTATGTGTCAGAGCCAACTCAATAGCACCTAACAACAACAATAACATCAGTAATTGGATTACTTAAAATGAGAAGGCGAACATGATTTTCCTTTGTTGTTGTGTTTAAACAATATAAGACTAATGTTGAAATTACTGCTTTCCATCCCCAGAGTTTTCTCTATCATTTTCTCAGCGTAGGTCTGCAGACCACAAGAGCTGCTCTGATACTACAACCATGTTTGCACTCCACCTGAAATTCTCCACTAAATCAAGATCTTATCTGGCCACAAGTTCTCCTTTTAATTTCCTAAAACAAAAGCTTGATTGTCAGACACCTGCAAGACACATTTACTGAGACCTGCTGAGTGCCCTAGGAAAACATCAAGAAACAGAACAGTTAATTTGCTCGCCCTCTCAGCATGTCTAAATCAACATAGTAGCCAATGGAAAAACATCTGTAAGTGGCAGTTTCTCAATATTAGGAGACAGCTAACGCCAGATACATTCTGGGAAGAGGTATCTTGGTAGCTGCCAACCAGAATGCTCTGTTCTTACAACCTTTTAAGGAATCCCTATGGAGTAGGGGCTCAGACAATGCTATTACTCAACTGAACCTGCAGACTTTTAGTCATCTCACCAGCAAACCAAAATAAGACCCGCGTTAACAACAAAAGAATAAATATCCTATTTAACTCTTCACACCTCCCTCCTGCTCTCTCCCAGTTATCTGTACAAGGTAGGGTTCTCAGGCTGCCAGGTAAGAGCCACGAGCCAACTTTCTGTGTTATCAGGGTGAAAGGCTCAAGACATCGAAAGGTCTATAGGGATGATCCAGTTACTCTAAATAAGAGGATTCCATCTACCAGTAACTAGAATGTGGCAATAGGTAAGCCTCCTGGGGAAGGGAGAAGATAGGTAGGGGGACTAACCTTTATGAACACATACTATTACTAGCTCTACCCCATCCTCATATCCCATCGTCCATACATGGTGTGTCTGAGACTCAGGCAGGAGAAATAATTTTTCTCAGGGTTCATGTGGACATTAAATGAAGATGTTTCATGAAACTCCATTTTCTCAAGGTGAGAGGGGATAAGGGAAGTAAGAGACATGTTAAATACTTTTCCCAGGTATTTGAGTTGCCCCAGGAAATAGAACATAGGATTAGAGGGATGGATGGTAGAGTATGAGGTCAGTTCACAGTCTATCAATAAAATGGAAAAAAAAATAGCTCTATCCTATCTTTCCTTCTGGAAAGAATTGATTAGGTGCACTATGGGATATACCTTTCCAACTTTCCTTCAGATATAAAGAAAGACCTTCCCTACAAGGACCTGTCACAACATTTCTAATAAAAGCCATAGTGTGCCATGCTGGAAGACAAACTTTACCATTGTTGTCATCATCATCATTATGTTTTATCTTAGTAAGAAAAGAAGGTTTACCCCATGGCTCCATAACCAAATGTGAACTCAATAGATTTTCTCCATTTCTGTTTTAAGAAAGTATAGTAAATCTGGCATTTCTCTAAAAGTTTAAGAATATAGATAGCCTTCACACCAATTGTATTATGTCTTCCTTGGATCTTCTTTCTACCGAATTTTTCTCTCCCTCATTCCCACTATCTACAACCTTTAAAATTTCTTTTAACCATTTGTTTCTTCAAAGCTTTGGGAGTCAAGCTGCTGACAGTGGGTTGAACTTGATGCTGCTGTATGCCACAGAGTTGATTCCAACTCATTGCAACCCTACAAGACAGACTAGAATTGCCCCACAGGGTTTCCTAGGCTGTAATCTTTACTGAAGCAGATCACCAGACCTTTTCTTCCATGGAGCAGCTGGCAGATTTGAAGCAGAAACCTTTTGGTTAGCAGCTGAACACTTGCTTTGTTTCTTATAGCAACTGTGGTAGTTCATTTTGTGTGTCAACTTGGCTGTGCCTGGTAGAGTGGCTGGGCAGCTGGATGTAGTATTCCCCATGATGAGACTGGTAATCAACTCCATGATGGAATCTACTGTGAGCAGCTGAGGAACTGCCTT